CGGCAGACCTGAACCCCGCCACCCGCTACCGTCGCGGGCCGCGTCACCGCGCCGCTGCGGCAGACCTGAATCCCGCCGCCCGCTACCGTCGCCGGCCGCGTCATCTGAATGCGGGCAACATGTGCTGTGATGCGTTTAAAGTCACAACCCAATTATTGTTTCAGATAATTAGCTGAAATATGGTGCAGCATCCTTCATATTCTTATCTAAGACACGTTTTTCATCTTGGCAAAATTTTAAGTGTGAGGCAAAAAGGTGTTGAGTGTACTGTTTGTCGATATTGTCGTTATTTGTAATGTCAATACTTCAATGTGCAATATTGAAACGACACAACTACAAGGCATATGAATAATGGATTAATTGAGTTCTATTTCCCGTCCACAGATGTAAAGTATGTTGTTTCGTTCGGATTGTGTGTCGATTTGCTTTTTTTGCTATGCGCTATTGTGATAGAATAGGTCAACATGACGTCACTCTTACGGCATTTGCGCTTAATACATTATGGTCGCACAATTGGTATTTTGGCACAAGGTGTAAAACTTACTAGTTACAGCTATTCAATTAATTTGCAGCAGTATCTAAAGGCCCTTTTAAATTATTGTATATATTGGACGGGGGCAGAGTTGACCCCGGTCAGTGTCGAATTTAAGTCCTCCAATACGCACGGAATAAGGCGCGTTTTCGATGTTACGAACACTGGATGTTGCTATCTTGAAAGATATGAACAATGGACGCTGCGATCTTGGACGCTTTAAAGGTTTCCCATGTTCATGGCTCCGAGGTTTCTCACATTTCACATTTTCTGAATGCTAACCACATCGATACAGCACGTCTGTGCCGCCGCGGCATGAATTCATTGACCAAGATTTTCCCATGGATTACCTGCCGTTTGCTTAGCATACAAAGAGAGCCGATAGCTGTAGCTTGAGAGTGGTGCAGTGTACAGTGGCTGTAATCTGGCTTGGCATTGCCCGGGAGGGACACATGCATATGTGTGAAGCTGTTCATATGCATACCCACTCGTCCCTTCTCACTCCGCCCAGAAAATAGCGAACCACTTGCGATGCGACTTAACATGCACCTGGGGTCAATAATGCCCTCGCAACCACCATGGCTATGCTTTTGGTGCTGGTATGGGTCATGGCAAGCATGATATGGCAGAAGGTCACTTTGATACCTTTTTTAAATTAATTTCTTCGGATAATTTTTTTCTAAAATCACTTTTGACGGCCTTCAAGGTGGACATGCAGCCCGCAGTTATATGAGTGGCGCAGGCAAGCTGAGGAATTATTGGAGTAGACAACCTATAAAACTTAAGGGCATGTTATTACAAAAGACGGGCAAAAATGGTATGTGGGCAAGACCTGTTAGCAAAGTCAGTTAAGGTCGGTGACCTGAGCCTCGTGTGCACAAGTTTGCGCGTGCGTTGGTGCGCGGGTGTCTGTGTACGTGTATATCCTTCTTTGTTTGATAGCGATCATTTCCACGCTGTCCGTGTGCAGCCGGAAAAGATCATCGATGCTGTTTGTGCGATCACAATGGTAATATCGCGGGGACGAGCCCAGGTTTTCTTCTTTACGCGAGATCATCGAAGATGAAATGGGTATTCCAGCTGCAGATTGTTAAGATTGCTACCAGTCAACTTAATGATTTAAGGCAAAAAGAGAGAGGAGCGTGGGCTCAGCAAGCGGAGACGCTCAGGCGAAACATAAGATTGTGCTACGTCCATTTTTAGCCACAACAACCAAGTCCGCCTCAAATGACACCTGGGCTGCAAAAATGCCCTGGTCGCAGGCGCGAACATCCACAGCGACTTTTGTTGGTGTCAAAGCCATGGGACGCCGGAAGTGCAATAACCGCACTCAAGGGTGACCCTGGGGTGATCACCCAAAGGTCATACGTGCGCGAATGGGGTCTCACCATGAAATCACACGGGTGTTGGCCGTGAAGTGCGCGCTGCCCACCCGGTGATGCGCGAAGGTTTTTGACCTGAGTTGCTTCTCGAGGTGGGTGGTTGGTGGGTGCAGCAATTTTGGGAAGGGGAGATCTGTATTATTGTGTTTTGCGGAAATGATGTCTGTTTTCAGATGCAGACGAAATGCACCATTGTTCTACAGACCAACAGCGTTCCCGTGACATCCGACATAATCTAAGTTAAACAGTCTCTTCCACCATATCAGATATCCGCGGTGTATTTTGACAAAGTTGCTGCCTACGCGTGAATGTCGTTGTACACTGTTGCTGCTCGTTCGGTTCTATTGTATTTGACAACACGCATTTTGATTCGTATTGCCTGTTTTGAATCTGCACTGTTTACAGCGCGCAGACCACGACCACGTGCCGACACAGGGAGGTGTACCTCTGGTCGCCAGATGCGTGTCAACTTTTCTCAAGCCTTTCAGGAGATTATTTTTCTGGAAATCACTCGCCTGCATGGAGTGTGAAAACATGCGGCGAGGAAACGCCCCGCACCATTCAGCATGTAACGAAAAGGCAGAACATTTGACTTGGCTAAGCTCTGAACGGTGGACGAATTCCGCTTTCGGCACCAACATCGCAGCTCTCGACTTATCCCACGCTGGCGACGGCCAGAGCTGCGATCAGCAGACCAGCAATGGATCATTCCTTTTTGCCTTACGGCATAAGGCTGGAATACGAGGAGCGGCATGTCAGTTAACGCCCTCGGTGCGGTGGAGGAGGCACAGAGAATAAGGGGGACATGATCTGTGACAACCGTTTGACACGATCTGCTCAATGCTAAACACAAAGAGCATCAGTGAGCATTTTAAGTCAGAACGTTCTACAAGCGCAAGGTTTCTCGTTATTTACCACGACGCACTGAAGCGGCGGGCGTCTAAGAATGCTAAAGCTATCAAAGCGATAAGACACTAGTGAAGCAGCTTTCTTGAGGGATCTCCAAACCATCAGCAGGTCCACAAAAAGCGCATTAAGGATATGATGAGTTCTTGCGAACGCCGTGGGATAGGAGTGAAGACTAGCCTCGGGGACATTGCAAATTCGAAGCCCACCTTTACGAAAATTCTGAGCATGTGACATGCCAAAATGCGACGAGAAGCGATAAAGCGACCGAAGTAGACGCCCAATGCAGCGGTGACATCTTAACGTATATCTATACAAACGTAAATCTATATAACGTATACTATCTAAACTTAAATATCTGAACGTACTGAATAAACATAGCGGTGATATCAACGGCAGTGGGCATCATGGATGGGCGACAACACCATCTCCGCTTCCAATAGTACTCACATAGGGGCACGCAGCATCGGCCAGGCATCGGGATTCCGCACCTACGGCAGACTTGGCCGCTGGGACACCAGGAGCCTCCAAGGCCACAGTAGCCCTGATTAGGGGCGCCTGGAAAGAAGGACGCGTTATGCGATGCCCTTATCTGATCCATCGGATGCTGCGTATCGCGACTGCCGCGCGCGGTACTGGTGCTGCGGCTGGTGATGCTACGCTGGGCTTGCCCCAACAACCAGTGGTGCCATTGGTGTACTTATGGTGTACTGGTGTGCTTCTAGTGACCTGCTGCGCGTAGTATACCGCTAGTTGCTGGGCTCCTCGAGCTGCACTCATTGGTCCCTAGTTTCCAAGCGTCAACGCATTCTGCGTATTTGGCAGAGTGGTTGGTTGGTGAATCCTGGCCTTACTAACACGCCAACGTGGTTCTTCGCCACATCCCCAGGGTACTTGTAGTATCGTCCGCTCTCACAGCCCGACCAAGCACGAAGTCAGGTGTTTCCGTGAGTATTTGCTCAATACCTCGGTAATAACAACAATAGCAATAATATAACGTCCGAGGCGTCCGAACACGTCGCGCCTCCGCCACGCGCCACCACCCAAGGCCCACTCTCTCCCGCAACTGCCACCTGCCTGGCGCGTAGGCGCCCTAAACAACCGCCATACACCACAGTACTCCTACTTGTTCTCAGCTCCTTTGCTGCTCAATTAGCTTAGCCGTCATCGACACTCAGTTCCCACCCACCTTCGACAGCGAAGACCGCCAGACAGAGCAGCAGCATCAGAGGTAGCAGGCGCATGGCTGACGACTGAAGGGTAACCTCATGCCTCAATCTGGACCCGTCCAACTGAAATGTGAAAGTTGGGCATGAAAGGCCATTGGGGCACGTCAGTAACACGTGCCAACAACGACGCCGTCATCTGTAGACAGTTCAAAGCATTCTGACCTTTACAACAGGGGTGAAGGCTCCTGGGGGAGGGGGGGGGGGGCTGCAACTCCCACGCTTTGAGAAGGCAGGGACCAAATCAGGGGATTACCCTGATTGTCGCCGTATTCTGGGCGCGGGTTGTGTCACTTTCATTGATCCCCCCTCCCTCCAACTCACCTGCGATACTACAGCCTTGCTTTGCAGCAAAGGCCTGACCTCTGCGGAACTGTCACGGCGTTTATGGATGTCAGGATACGCGCGAGCGACCCAGCAGCGTGTCACATGCCTCGCGGCTTCATCGAAGGCGGAGGAGAGGCTGGATAACTCCTCGAGGCGTAGACCTCAGTCCTCCAGATGACTGCGTCGCGGAGGTTGTCGTCAGCGCCTAACGGCGGCCATCGTGATGGCGTCTTATGCTGCTCAGTTGACGACCCCGCCTCCGCCCGTCGCCGTCCGACCCGCGGGTGGTGTTGGGCCGCGGGGTTTGATATTAGCGTGGAAAATGGCGGAACGCTCACTGTTGGTGGAACGCTTATCGCTCATATATATATATATATATATATATATATATATATATATATATATATATACATGTGTGTGTGTGTGTGTGTGTACATTATTAAAGTAATGGAAAGATTTGCTCACAACCACAAGCATAGGCGTAGGAACGTTTCAAAAAGTGGGGGGGGGGGCGGGCCAGAGTGAACTTCAAAAGCTTTTTCTGGGACGCAAGCCCGATGACCGGAGGGGGATGGGGTGGGGGTAGAGATGGGGGTTATTATCCGCTATTTATTCACGTAACACATCTTGGGAATAGTTAAATGGCATTGTTGCCTTGCTAAATATGCATCTGCAGCTGTTTCTCACTGGTGCGAAACGATGCCCATTCGACTCAGATATGTCATTCGATGAATAAGGCATCCAGCTTCCCATGATTATTCTTTTATTTCAAGATTGTTTTCCGTGGGAACGTAAAATTCCACGAGCAGGTAGGCACTTTGGGTCATCGAGGAGGCATCTACCTCCGCAGAGCAGATGCCAAGGCACGACCTCGACATAGGCTGGTCAGAATTTTGGATGCGAATCGGTGACCCACGGTGCGTCTGGATTTCCATGCGCCTAGATTTCGTGGGCTTCGTTTCTAGGAATAAGAATTGGCGCAGAATTCTAGGTGGAAGCAAATTCGGAAGCTTCAAATACCCAAATAACCACTTCACTTACTGCCAAAACAATGTGACAAAAAACATAAAACCGCCTTTTCTGTAAAAAACCAAGCCACAGAATGAAGGCTTTTCTGCCTTATATCATTTACCTGAGTCCTACTCCCGTCCGCTGTCGGCAGCCACTGCCCTGGCCCGGCTGCCCCCCCCCCCCCCCCCCCCAGGGCTAACTGGGAAGTGATCGTATAGCTGCTTTGCTGCAAGTTTATGGATCAGCATTACCACTTAATGGTGTGCAAAACATATATTGGGCACCTGCAGCAGTGCCTTTTTACCGAATTATTTTGCCATTCACCACATCACCACAGAAAAAAGCTTTCGGGAAGCTGCCTGCTTTAGCCCTGAACGGTCCAACGGATATTCCATTGTCCCTCATTCAACGTAGCCAGCTCGATCTACTTTTGAATGTAGACAGGGATGTAGCCTTGCCAAAGGTGAGAGGCACAAGGTTGACAAAAGCCTCCTGGCGGTGACCTCCCAAAAAGATCGCCAGATATAGCTTAGCTGTTAACAAGGAGCAAGGTTATCTTTGTAGCATTGCTATTTTTGCCTTGTAACTAGAAAAGCAACAGAAGCCAGAAGCTTTCGCGAGATCTATTCTGCTTGTATTTTGAGGCCAATGAGCTGCAGAATTCAGCCGTTGAACGACTGCATTGAATAAATCACCGACGCTCTTAATTTACAATGATTTAGTGGACTCTTTCTAAACCGATAAAATTGAGAAGCCATGTCAGATTTTTATATGGGTTCTACAGCAATATCAAGCACTCTGTGATGGTAGATTGCAAATCGACATGTGTAAAAAGTGTATTAACACGACCTAGCCATGTTTGTCTGGAAATGCTTGGCATTCAGTCAGAACCGATTCGCGGTACAAATTATGCAACGTAGCTTTGAACATGCGCGCTCGTAAATCTTGGCAACAAAATTATTTAGTGCTGTTATTCTTTATTCTTCTTCGTACGTATTCTTTATTTTTCGTGTTGCATACAGCCTCGATAGGCCGCACAGTGTCTGCCCTGCGGCTTACATTAGGCCATAGCCAACGGGTGGACAAAAATGATGACGCTTCTGAAAGGAATACCTTATAACGCTTTAGGACATCAAACCTTACATTTAGAGGGTAGTTTGGGCGTAGAGTTTGCCTGTACGAGTCTTAGACTGATGATCAGATCTGTTTGGCCCTTACAGCAAGGGGAAGAGGCGCTGGAATCTGATGGTGGAACTGGAAGAGTAAAGGAAGGATCTTTATTTTTCGTGTTGCTGTGACTGCAAATCGGACAGACTGACTGCGGCACCCATCGTCTGGTGTCGCTTGCAGTCGCCAACGCCGTTCGCATTTACGAAAGTTGCAACCCAGATCATCGCAATCGTCGCAGTCGCAACCCAGGTCATTGCAATCACTGCGGGCGCGCGTGCTCAAAGCTTTTGACGTCATTTGTTTCACTAATCGATTGTGCAAAAGAAGGAGCGTTCTCAGGCAAACATGGGATGACCTTGATCTTGTTGAACTTGACCTTGGGATGACCTTGTTCATTTTTGAACTCGTTGCGACCCACTCTATTCAACAATAAGGAGACCCCTTGTTTCATTCCGGGCAAGGGGCCCTTGAGTAGAACACTAGGGGCACATTGCTGCTCTGGGGTCAACGGCTGTGGTGCAGTTCCGCCCCATCACGGGATGTCTTCCGGCTGCCATTCTGGTGACACGGTGCGGGATCCCTGGTCGATCCGGAGTCGCTTGGAGAGATGCATCACGTCACCTTGTTCTCCTTCTTGACGCGGGAGGCCTTATGACCTGCGCAGTTGACGCCAGATAACGTAGAAACCCTCACTGGCGCAAAAACATCCATGATCATCGCGGGTGGTCCAATAACTGTCGCAAAGACTCCGATTTTTTATCTGTTCTTCAGGGATATTAAGAACACCCTGGACATAGATTGTAGATCGAAATGTGGTCCAAAATTTGTATTGACATGCCTGACTCATCTTCGTCTTAACATGTTTTACATTCAGTCAGGATTGCTTACTGAGAAAAAATTATATAACATGGGTTTCAGCACGCATGCTCGCAAATCTTAGCAACAGCCTCGACGCCCGGCGTTGAAGTCTCCATAGGCCGCGTGTCGGCCGCGCGGCTGTGACAATAAGAGATGGCCAATGGGCAAGACGAAAATGATGATGCATCTTCAAGAAGATGGCTGGTGAGCCAGGTTAATTGGCATGCATGCTAATAGTATTACAAAAACAAGCTAGACACAATTTAAATCTGAAAGAGTGGGTGGGGGGGGGGGGGGGGGGCTAGTAATCATTGCTGGCCCCCCACCTTGAAAAGTGGAGGCGGCGGGCCATTGGCCCCGTGCTCCCTCCCCCTGTTCCTACACCCATGCTTCTAATAAATTGTGCAACGCTATACTCAAAAGATGACTTTTGACGTTCCTACTGTGCTCGGTCCTTCGTCTCTTAACAGGTGTGTTCTCCAGCGCCTGTGCCATTTCCGACGCTTGCATCACGGCGAAGTAAATCCCATCGTTGTCACTGACGAAATTGTTGATAAAGTGGACAACCGGAAAATGCATATTTTGGCGCTTTTCAATAATCTTCAGCACTTGGACGTGATCGTCGCACTGATTGACTCCGAAAGTGATTTCGAAGTTGGATTTGTACGCAGAAGACAGTGCCTACTTTTGCAGTTATCATACGTATGTAGTTGTAGAAGTATATTATCAACACTGCGCCAAACAGAACAGCACCATAGCTTTCCCACGTGCATGAAGCGTGAAATAACGCATCAGCTGACCGCGGCACGTTAACCCGTGACCTCTCAGAGCGGGTTCAGTGGGGTCAGCCAACTTTCTCGGCGAAGGCCAGTGATTTTGTTACTGTATTCGTTTTTGTCGGTAACTGGTGCATTTTGGTTTAAATGTGGCAAAACAGTGTTTTGGATTCGATTTCTGACAAAGAGGTGGCTGAAAATGTCTTTTAGTGAAAAAGGTCACTCGAAGTCACGGACTCCATGATCCAGGGGACTTGAAACTTACGCTGCGTAATTCGCATGGACCCTCGGACCTCATTTGACCCCACCTACGTGATCGAAACACTGATCAGATAGATCATGCTTAAGACATCGAGGCTATCTGTCGATCAGATAGACTTGCGGTCTATTGCGGCAGTCCGAAATGATGTTAGTAGATATTCGCAGTGTTCCAATGTCTCCGTGGTCTATGAAGGTAGGTAGGGTATGGTTGTCCACGCTCAAGGTCACAGGAAGTCATGAAATGACTAGATTAGACTACATGGTCTTGGGCGACGTCATACGGCGAGAAAATGTTGGTCTATTTTGGATCCAGCTTCAACGCCAGCTTTAACACCGCACCAGCTTTAATCTCCACACCCAGTATAGCAGACCCAATACCCAATACTCCACACCCGATATAGATTTGTTGCTAAACAGACCAAACAAAACGTGATTTGAACTACTTCCCACAGTGTGAAAGGTCAATACAAGCTTCTCAAAGATCTTACGATAAGAAGCACTGCATACTGAAATGTTACAAAATTACATGAACAATTTCCCAAGCAATGCAAATGGGCAGTAGCTTATTACGCACGTAGCTACCACATGCTATTTGCGATTGCAGCCGCAATGGAGATCGCGGAAGGACCTAATCAAGAAATTCCACGACGTTTGACTGAGCAAAGCCTCTCCTATCAGCTGGCATCTGAACCCAACCTAATGAACCTAGACGTTGTGCACCAGATACTTCATATATACATGTATAAATATAAATATATGTATATATGTACATATATATATAAATATATATATATATATATATATATATACACACACACACATATAAATAAATAAATAAATATATATATATATATATATATATATATATATATATATATATATATATATATATATATATATATATATATTATGTGTGTGTGTGTGTGTGTGTGTGTGTGTGTGTGTGTGTGTGTGTGTGTGTGTGTGTGTGTGTGTGTGTGTGTGTGTGTGTGTGTGTGTGTGTGTGTGTGTGTGTGTGTGTGTGTGTGTGTGTGTGTGTGTGTGTGTGTGTGTGTGTGTGTGTGTGTGTGTGTGTGTGTGTGTGTGTGTGTGTGTGTGTGTGTGTGTGTGTGTGTGTGTGTGTGTGTGTGTGTGTGTGTGTGTGTGTGTGTGTGTATGCATACACATGTTTGTCCAAACCTTTTGAATGAATGGATTTCTGGTACCAGAGCCCACGCTAAGCAAGTGCTTATTGCGTAAGGCCTGACCCCACCATCCGATCGTAAAGTACCAGGTCAACGTCATAATTTTGGGCCCAACTTTGAACGTGCCGTAATGCGCGGCACGATGCTTTCTAACCTTTGTTGTTGTTGATCGGGGTTTTAGGACGCGCCGACTAATAAGGTCATTTTGCGCCCATAGCAGCTAAGTGATTGCATAGGTGTGTGAATAGCTAAAAATCCTATATTAGCCAAAAATGAAAACAGTTGAGTCGTGGCAAGAATGCGAGGGTCGTCACCAAAGATGTCTGAATAGGTAAGAACTGGAGCATCTCGCCCTAGTCTGAAAGTCTATGTGCAAGGCGACGCGCTCCAAGGCCCGAACTTAAGGTCAGCTGGGATATCGCGCTCTTTACTGGTGCATGACAGCGAGACATCCACCTTTGGCTTAGCTCTCACGGGAGTACCAAAACGCAGCGGAACCTTAGTATGCCATGCAACTGAATATCGCTGTCACGGAACAGCTCCTTCATTTGCACGCCGAAAGGTAAACCGTAAAGCCTTCGGCCGTTTTAAAACATGTGTTCAATGCGTGGTGAAAAAAAAAAAAACGCTCGGTCGGTCGGGTGGTTTGAAAACTGCCAACTCGGAAGTGTACCGCATTCTCAGCATTTCTCTCCTGAGAGATAATGGCAATTCATTTGCTTCCACTGCAATACTAGATATTGGCGATGTTTTATACGCTCCGGTCACAATGCGTAATGCGGTGTGATGCATTGTGTCCATAAACGCTTGCAAGAATGAGCCGCACGACCACTAGCGAACTCCACCTCAATTTTTCATCCCTGAGCTTGTCGCATCTAATAATTTTCCCAAATCTGTCGCAGCCGTTCCGCCTTTGAAACGGTGAGAGGGAAGCCAGCTTAATCTCATCACTTTCGACGATGAGGATCCGTGGACCGGGGAGCGCAGATCCTCCTCTGCACCCTGGGTTTATCGAGGCATTTTTAAGGTGAGAAGATGCCATAAAAGGTGGTTTTCATTTCGTCACCGAGGCTCCCCACCCACCACGGAGCCCAACTGGGGAACAGCCCAACGCTCCATCGGGAGGTGGTCGCCGCCAGGGCTACCCCGGTGCTATACGGGGCGAACGATACCTCCCACACGGCCAGGTGTAACCGGGGAGACCCCTCCCCGTCCTGACCGTGGTCCAGCACCGCCGCCCCTTAACCACTTCAGCCGCTGCGCGCGCCAGGCGCCCCAAGCGGAGACCCGCGCGGAGCACTCAACCGCAGCGCAAGCGACAAGTCGCTAGACCCGTATGGGACTCACGGGCCCCCCACGCCCCCGAATATCCTGGTCCAAGTGGAGTGATGGGACGCGCCGTGGCTGACCCGCACGACGCGCTCCTCAACCACCAGGATCCGATGAACCCGGGACGCGGGCGAGGGGGCACGGCGACCCCGATAAAACGAGGATGAGGAATGGTGAGAGGGCCGGAAGCGGGAACACAGGTGCTGGGGAGGGAGCCGGCGGGACAAGGAGCAGGAGCTCACGTAACGGCAGGGTCGCTAGGCCGTGGAATGAGCAGCTTGCGCTGTCCACCCGCTACCAAAGCTGGGACCCGGGAGGACGACAGTCTCCCACACCAGCCAAAATCGGTGCCCCGCGGGGCTACTTTCTAACCTCTGACGTCACCTGACCTTCAGCTCAGCCGCAGTCACCGGTCACAGACAATACCAGTCAGGACAAACAGCAACCGGTTGGTGCGTTTTAAACCCATCCCGCCACAAAAGGGTGAATGGAATGAAGATGGGGGTGGGGGGGGGGGGGGGGATGAGGAGCGGGGTGTGGGGAGATGTTGTAACCAACTGAGCTACTGTGAAGGATGAGTTCACCATTAGTTTGCCATCGATCTAAACAAATTCTATAATTAAATATTTTTTGGGACATAAAGTAGAACAAGATGAATTATTGCAAGAGGGATTAAGAGCGCGCAAAATCCACACAGGGTGGGGTTGGGGTATACTTTTATATAAAGTACCACCCATTGGGTTCTCACATTTTTGTTTCCCACGGGGTTTTGTCCGAGAGCTTGGACGGAGGGTCTATATGAATGAAGCACTTTAAAGTGCGCTTTATCGCTGTCTTGTGGTAGCTCGACCTGCCAGCTGTTTTGTCATTTTTAATCGCAATACTAAACGCTTACTTAAGCGCCCGGGTGGCCGGCTGGATACCCCTCGCTCGGGGGGTCAAGTTGACCCCCCTGAGGTCTCGGGAAAAAATCTAGAAACACCAAACTTACCGGGTGTGTTGACCTGTACGTGAACTACTTTAGGTCAAAGCTTGAGGTTCCTAGGTCATGACGTTTGGGTCAAATAAGGTCAAATAAGGTCAAACAAGGTCAAATTCCGGGTTGGTCTCAAAAGTGCCCCGGGAACTTAGATAGCTGTTTCTAAGCAAAAGATCACACGCCAATCTAAGGTCAGTGACCTAGTCTGATCTCTTGAAGGTCATGATGACCAAAATCATAAGAGACTGCTTTGAGTTTTGCATTGGAATAAGCGACAAAAATTATGCTAGGCAGAATGTTTCTAAAAACAAAATGTTGACTTGGGTCATTTTTGGTCAATGACCTATTTCTGACCTCTAAGAAGCCCATGGACAATGCATAATGCGGTTCCTGCTATCAATAAATTCGAAATGAGCACCAGAAACTATCCCGTACAGCAAGCCCCAATGTAATAAAATGGGTCGGTTTTGACCTTGGTCTGACCTTCATACCTGACCTTAGGTCAACGTAATTTGCTCATTCAATTGTTGTGTTGCCTATACATTCCTTCGTCTATCACTTCGCTGTTGGATCAGATTGAACGATTCCATAGAAATTGCCTTCGCTGAAACCATGGCCTGACTTTGACCTGTCATAGGTCAGCGACCTTACAAGGTACATAAAATATTTGGATGTCAGACGATCCACTATTCAATTGTCTACAGCTATGCAAAATTTGGCGCGGCTACACCGCGTCATTCGGAGATCATTTGGGAAAAACCTTTGGAGGAGGGGGGGGGGGGGGTCAATTTGACCCCCACCCCACCCGAGCGCGAGTTAAATGTCGTTACCTTTCTCACGCGCGAGGCCGATTAAAATAAACAGACCATTCTGCGCACTTCTACCGTCGCTATCTTATCTTATTGTCCGTGGCTATTTCGCCTATGCAATACCTACGCATGGGCCCCTCCCTTCATACCGCGTTACTATCAGAAAACGAACCTACTTTTTAGTAGTTTTCTGTAAACAATAAACCGCTTCTGACTGAAGACAGCTTAATATTTAGTCGTCAAATGCACGCATGAGCAATACTAGATTCCACCCCAGCCTGTAAAAACAGCATAGATGTGGGGACAAATCCTGTTCCGTTGATCAAAAGTGTAGTGGCTTAAGAGGACAACTTTAACTTTTATGTAAACAACGATGTCCTAACGACACGTGCCAGAACCCGCAAGCTGCGAGCAGCCCTGATGAGACATTGCTAGCGTGAAAAATGCTGGAATGCGTTTTTTTCAAATTGTGCTTTTCGCATGATGTCACTTCCACCTGACCCGAGATGAACCAAACCGCGGCCCGTTGCGCAAGCCATCGCGTGAGCAGCAAGCGACTTAAGCACGTCTACATGTCAACCACAGTTCTGGGGAATTTCGGGCGCGATGACCCAAATCGGCGGATTGGGCAACGCCGACCGGACGTTTGGGCGGTATTCCCGAGCCCGCGCGCCTGCCCCCCCCCCCCCCTTCCCCCCTCCCCCCTCCCCGACCCTTGCGGTTGGACTGCACCGACCCTTGCGGTTGGACTGCACCGGTTGGTCGGCGTTGCCGCGGCGGGGGCAGAGAAAGTGACGAGACGAGTCGACTTCGGACGTCGGTTCAGTGCCGTCTACGGCGGCCATCCAGGAGGAGAGCACCTCATCCCGCGGCTTCAGTGCGCCGCCCTTCCCATTGCACCCGTCCTGACTGCGTCACTGCGACAGCGGTCTTCCGCCAGAGTTCAGCCGGGCTTCGCTCGCAGCCGCTGCCATGCCGCCCTCCTGCCTCGCGCTGCTATGCGCTGTGCTGCTGGCCGTGATCGCCGGCGGCCAGGGCCAGCACGGGCGACTCGGCCGCCTGATCTTCACGCCCAGCCGAACGGACGGGTTCGAGCCTAGCCGGCCGCGGAACTTTTCACCGGCGCGCCGCGCCAAGGTGCTGCCGCTCGACATCCAGCCGTCTGCGCCCGGGCGAGGCGTGCACGACTTCTTCACCGCTGAGACCGCCCCTGACTCGCACGGAAGCATCCGCACCGAGGGCACGAAGTCGCGCGTGGATGCCTACCTGCGCGCCCTGCGCCGCCGCTTCGGCGTCATCGACCCCCGGGGTCAGCGGGTCGTCTCAGGCGGCCGGCAGGGCCGAGCCCGACGGCTGGACTCGGCCCACGCGCTCGGCGGTGTGCAGCTCACGACCGGCAAAGCCCCCGGGGCGAAGAAGGACGAGGGCGAGGACAGCGAGCGGGAGGACCGCGGCATCCTCTTCTTCCCCGGCAACGTCATCCACTCGTTCGATCTTCCGCCCAGCCCAGCAGGTGAGCGTTGCGGAACGATCAGCCGCCTCGGGCGAATGCTCTCCTCCCGTGCGAAACTGTCGTCTTCCTCGCTGTTGGTTTGTCAGGCCGTGCAGGATGGCAGAGCCTACTCGGCACATCGGGGAGTCGACATATTTCTACTTGTATTGACCTTGCACGACCGAGCTGAAGGCCGAGCTGCCGCCCTTTTGTTTCCTGAGTCCACTCACGTCCCACCAACGCGCCTAACCGGTCCGTGGCGCAATACCTCGCGTGAGCTTATCAGTACGAGGAGATTGGGCGCGCGATCCCTTCCAGCTATACACAGGTTTGAAACTGTGTGTAAATTCTGGAGCAGCCCTTCCTATAACCGCTCTGGTGTCGCTACTAACTGTGGTCATTAGAGCAGTGCAGGTTATTAACCAATGGAGATTATGACAGCCAAAAAATCTTCATTCTCCTGGTTTTTATCCGAGGAACAACGGTAATACTACTGTCTTATACATGTAAATAATGTTTCTCGCTAATGCACTGAACAACTTATCAACCAATGCTCACCCAGTGTATTGGTCAGTACCTGTTAATGACATTTGTTTCTGGAAGTTTTTGGGTAATCATTGAAGGAAGTCATTAGTGATCATCATGTTCAGGCCAGTACCTCACATGGTTTAAACGTTGCTGACGGACGACCTTCCCCACCCACGCAGATCCTACGACATCTTTTAGCGAATCAGCAAGCATTACAGGTTCAACTGAGCAGGCTTGAGCGACTTCCTGAAACCAGGGAATGATTCTAGCAGTTACCCACGTGGTCTGAAGGCATTCTGAGCAGGCTATGCTTGGTGCAGCGGGCATAGGAGTGTCACAGCCCTTGTACCAGCAAGCCGATGATTTCCTATTCGGCGCACCAGGATTTCTGGCATGTGCGTGATTTTCATCGATCGTGGATTTTTCATAAATTTCGTGGATGTGCACTCAGAATGGCACGCAAAGCATTTTCTACTTGCCGGGAAAGGCGCACCTCTAGCCTGGCTGGCTGTGGGACGCCAGGGCTCGACATACATACGAAAGGCATTGGGCTCCTGACTCCTGACTTTCGCCATTTTGAGATTAAGAGCTGCTGACAGCGATCAATCCGCAAGGTACCGGAGTGCTTTGGTTTAACGACTTTATTAAGCAAACATCATTTGCAATGTCAGAAGTGGATGCTGCAAGCTGTGTTCATGATCACGATGTCGCTTAAACCGATTACTTCGCGCTGAAAGCAAGGCAGTTCGCGTTTTGGCAAGGGGCTGTTCATGGCCTCATTCCTCAGCCTTCTCGCCAGATCTGCTCTCACTGATGCACGTCGTCGGCCGGCGATCCTTTTCGGGATAAGCCTCATCCGCTTAATCGATTGCTGATCGCCAGCAATGACCACGCGCCGGTGGCCTCGATGGGATGGTCCGACTAACCGCGTACATTGCGCAATGCTGCCGGCGGTGGCTAGGAGCGACTGGGAGTGGGTCGGGCTGAGGCCAGAGAAGGGGTGAGAGCAATGTTTTGGCAGCGCCCCCAGGGGCCCGACTGCCGTGCCGGGTTTGGGATTAGCGGTGGAGGCCCCCCTCCCCCCCAACCCACCGTGTCATTCACCCCGTCTGGCGCGTGTGGGAGGGGGCCTTGCACTGATCGGATCGTGTGGGCGGGAGGTGTGGAGGGCGTCCTGCGGAGCACGTAACACGCCTGTCACTCAGACCCAAAACCGTCTGGACATGAGATCATCTGTCGTGCTGTTGTTTTTACGGGCCTGGTGACAGCTGCCGGCTGCTGCTGAGCAGGAGAAACATGATCTGTAGAAGATGCTCAGCCTGGAGTAAATGTAAATAAGTTACGCTGCAAACAAAATGCACCTCTGAACTCTACGAAGGCGGGCAAAAGACGTAAACAGTTTTTGTAGCAACAGGCTGGGCATTAAAGGCAGCCTGGGCGAGGAAGCCGATGTGTCGTGAATACCAGGAAATTATGCAAAACAAAAATACATGAAAGAGGGATCGAACCAGTTGATTTTGCTAAAACCGGTCGCTTGAAGCCTGTCCAGCCAATTGTCAACAAGAGGTTTCCAAATGATTGCCTTTTGTGTGCTCTAAAGATTGCACTCTGACACCGCCAACATTTCAGAGCTACATCATACTACATTTGCTACATTGAGCTAGTGGGGCAGCGGTGATCCAGTAGCTCACAACTCTCACAACCACCATACTGGCTGCCATCAGTGATGTAGGGTCGCACTCTTCATTGCCGAAACACGTCATCAAGTTGTTTGAGTGCCACTGGAACTTCGTGCCAGGATCGCAGCACGTCCGCGAGGATAGGGAACAGAACAAGGGCGTAGGCGCTGGCGTGGACACAGTTTTCTTGTATGAAGCACTAAATACTGAGTTAGATTTTAAAAATCCTCTAAATCATAAGAAAACTGATCAAAGGAGTGTTTCACATTTGGAGACATTGAAGCAAGCATTATATATGACAAAACAAGTTCACTGATAGCTGTTGCTATACTTTTAAATGGAAAAGACAGCTCTAGTAACAACGTGACAACGTAAGTTTTTTGTTTACCAAGTAAGCTCCTAGATATTCCTCGCCTGATTAGGTCATGGTACGTTACACAACATTCATTGAGAGCCAATTGACGGCCGTTATTTCTGGAAATCGTGCGTGCAAACGTCCGATATGAACGACTCGACCACTTTATTTTTATCAGCTGATCATCCCATGGGTTATGAAATGGCACGATCTGAATGGCACTATGATGCCATGAATGCCAAGGTGACCTCATTAATACTTAAAATAATAATTAATTTAGTTAAAAGCCTGTTAACAGCACATATTTGGCATAATTCATTATCAAATGAATGTGCACGGTGTGCGGTACGCATTTATAGCTATTAATTATTTGGTAGCAATTAGTACCTATGAATAATTCACCGAATTATTCTCCTTTGCGAAATTTAAGCTCAGGAACCCGACTACTTTAAATTTTAAAAAGGGCATGACCGTGACTTGCATCAAAACGTCTTCAACACGGCGATGTTAGTTCAACACCCATGCGAATGTTGGATGTTGAACTGTCGGAGGGTCTCCCTTTAAATTTATTTAAAAATATTCTGATTTCACCAAACACTGATGATGATTTCATACCAAATCATTGCACAAGTCACTTATATATTCGTCAAATACGCAACCCATTTTCTCTCCCGAAAATGTCAAAGCGCTGTAGTTGACAGGCCCATCGTGTCACTCCGCATCACCGCGAGGTGTCAAAACCCTTGCCGGAGGCGTCGTCGCGTGCCGTCTGAGGACAGACATTCTCCTGGAGCAGAGTCACGATAGGGAGCGTGCCACCGAATCATGTAAGCTGAGCCGGGCCGCGGCACCGCGGTGGTCACGTGACCGACCGGGACAGCTTCGGCGGGGCCCCACTGCGGCACCGCGATGGTCACGTGACCGAGCGGGACAGCTGAGTCCGGCCTAGCTGGGGCGCAGCGGCTTGGGTCGCATAACCCACTGGGATGTTGCCATATAGGTTTGCTTTCATACTTCACCTTGAAGTATGATAGACGTGTACCACACACGGTGGGCGGTGTGCGACACGCATTAAGTGAACTTGAACTTCCGTTAACTTCTAAAACGACTTAACAGATTAAGCTTTCTTAGCAAATAAGTGCAGTTAACGGGCTTTTAACGGGTTTTAGGTCCTTTCGCGGAAGTAGCATTTTAGGCAAACTTGCCAACTCCACTGCCCAAAGGTAAAACCTCATACGTTAATTTTTGGCCATTTTGCGCTTTTTATGTTATCTAATTCATCTACGCGTGCTGATTTCGGTTATTCAAACTATCAGTTAAAATTTTCTCAAACTTTGAGCTTATTCTTTTGACTGAAAGTTTGTGAAAATTTGATTTGAAAATTTGATTTGAACCCCTTATGCCGAACCGATATTTAGTCAAAATATACGTAACACATGCATATAAATGATATGAAAAGCCGAACAGTTTCGTGACGTGGCAAACACATAACGAGCAAAAAACAAAAACAAAAACAAAACAAAAACAAAACAAAACAGCAACACTGGAGTGGGCAGAACCTGACCTCTCCGCAGAGGTAAGGGCTGGACGAAAATTAGAACCCTTAAAACCCGCGCGATGCTCTGAGGTGATGGTGACCTCGAGCCGAAGGGGCGCGGCGTGATTAGTCAGTAACCAGTTGGCTCTGAGATGCTGCGTCTGCACTGCGTCATCCACAGCACTGCGTCATCATCTGCGTCGTCTTCAATTAGGATGACCTCACTCTCACGATCTTTGCGTGAGGCGACGATCTTGCACCACTGTGGATGATCTATCAGCAATAAGAAATGACCTTACGTTATATAATGACCTGGCCTAATGCGTCGGTTGGACTAAACCACCATGCGAAGGTCACTGATTCATGATGTGATGGACAGGGACCAAATGAAACGTTTTGTTTTTATATTTTACCGAACGTGACCTTGAATCACCTTTGCTCCAGGGAACGTGGTATTGGTGTCACACCCGCTGGCCGGCGTCCACACTCGACTCAACGGCGGGGGCATATCGACCCCGATCCGCTCCCTTCTGGACACCAGCGGCTCCGGTGTGACCGTGACCCAAGCCCAGGTCAACGGCGGCGCGGGCCAGATAAAGGGCGGCACGGGCCAGGCTCACGGCGGCGCGGGGCAGGCCAAAAGCGGCCTCTCGGAGCGCCTGAAGCCGCCGCCGGCCGGCGGACCCACCGGGCCGGCACCAGTGTCCGTCGGGCCACCGCCGGTGTCCGCCGAGCCGCCACTGTTCCCTGGCAGTCGTGGCAGCGGCGGACCCCACCGCCGGCCTCAGTCGCCTCGTCACCGACCCATCATCTTCCCCGGAGCCACCACCAGCCGGCCGAGGCCGACGGCGGCTCCGACGAAGGTCAGCGGAACGCTACGTAATGCCCAAGCGGGGCAACACGGGCTCAGTTGGACCATTTTGGTCAGCTGGCTTTTTCGAATGTCTCTTTTGGAAATAGTTAGCCTGCATAAAGTTTTACTGATTTGGCAAAGCTTTCATGCGACATGATGCATTTATGCAGCATAAGACAGGGCATGGAATATTAGGAACGAGTTTGAAAATACGGGAGCGATCAGCTGACTTGGCGGGGAGATGTTTTGTTTATATTTGTGTCCACGGCTGCTTCGTGGGCGTCTCCGGAATGGAGGACAAGGCACCCGCTTACCCAGCCTTATGGTGCAGGTTGGCGATACTATTCTGGCGCAGGGCCTGCTCCCGCCCGCGTTTCCGCCGAAGCCGTCCGTCACCACACTGGGCTCCCTCGGCGGCTCCTCGGCACGTCCCCTGAGGACCCCGACTCGTCCTCTGAGGACCCCGGCTCGTCCTCTGAGGACCTCGTCCTCCCGGCTGCCGCCGCGAGCCGACCGGCGACCAGCGGCGACCAGCGGTCACTTGCAGGGCTTCGGCGTTCGCACAGAAGCGCTCTTCATCCCGGCGGGCGCCGGCGGCACCGGAGCTTCGCCCGTCTGCCGCCAGGAGCACAACTGCCGGGAGGCGGCTGAGCTCGAGCGCTGCCGCGGCGATGGAGACTGCGCCGGCCTCGGCCTGTGCTGCTACAGCCGCTGCGCAGGAACGTCGGTCTGCCAGAGGCTGGACGGCGGCGGCCTGGCGGCGCGGTCGCTACTGCCCTGAGCCGCCAGGCGGGAGCCCCGTCGAGGCGCGGCACGATCAGGTGCGCGGTGCTGGCCGCGGATCAGCCCCAGCGCGGCGAGGGTGTCGGCATTTGCGGCGGCGCGACGCGTCCTCGCCCGGATAACGATCAGTGGCTGTGTATCAACAAAGACCACGCGCGGCGGACGCGGCACCACCGCCCGCACGTGGCGCAGGACTGGACGCAAGGCGCGCTTCCGATCCTTCGGGCATTGCTTCGTGAGCGTTCACCGTGTCACCGACTTGGGGGTATAAGGGTGCATTGCGACATCCAGTCGAAAGCGGCGTTGTCTGTAGCCGACGCGTGTTTACAACCGACACTCACGCCACGTCCTCTTGCCGAGCCGACACCGATACCGAACGAGCGAAAGGAAATAAAGCATGTATTTCGGTGTGCATAGTCTTACAGATGTATGTACAGGCCAGACCGACGCCGTCAGGAGCCGAGCTGCGCATGCGCACGACGTCCCGCGCCGGCGCCATCAAGCCGCTCACTCACGCGCTACAAATCTACTAAAAAAACAAACAAAAAACAGATCAGTGAGAACAGTGTGACAATCACGAAAACGGCTCAAACGCTCCGCGTCGCTGCCAGCAGGGCTTGGCAGGTCGGCAAGTCAACAGGTACAAACGCCAGCCTCACTCACGCGGCGCCGCCGCCGGCCGGCGCGCCGCGTCTGGCGACCGCCTGCTCCTGGATATCATGCGGATGCCACCGGATATCCTCAGGAGAGCCAGCGGCGGCGCGGCGATGCGCCGCCGTCCTCACGGAGGCTCGGATTCTGCAGTCTCACAGAGACCCGAGAATTGTGCGGTCTCACGGAGGCCGGGTCCTGTACAGTCTCGCGAAGGCCCAGGTCATGTACAGGCTCACAGAGGCCCAGGTCATGTACAGTCTCAGGGGCCCAGGTCATGTACAGTCTCAGGGGCCCAGGTCATGTGGTCTCACAGAGGCCCAGGTCGTGCACGGTCTCAGGGGCCAATATCATGTACAGCCTCAGGGCCAATGACTTTGCCATGACAAGTCCTGGCCACATCCACACAGGCACGGCTTTTGTTCAGTTGGCGCGGTGTACGCCAGAGGCGCCAGCGTCGTCGCGCGCCGTTGGCGTGACGCCCCGACCGCGCACACTCCCGCCAGCGAGACTTCTCCGGACCTTTGTACTCAGCTGGCCGAGGCCCGCCCGGCGGCCACTCGCCCAAAGCGAGCTTGACGAGCCGGCCACGAGATGGCGGGCGCATCGCGCGGCGACGGACCTCTCCAGGTGCTCCTGAGATGGCGCTGTTTGCGCTCACAGCGGCTGCGTCTCTCCGTCGAACACGGAGAGTGCCGCCAGCTGTGGGTCGGGCAGCACCACCACCATCGGGGCGGCGGCGCCGACGGCAGAGACACCTGGCGGCAGGGGCGCAGCGCGCTCAGACGTCGAGGCCGCCGACACAGGCGAACACCAACCACACCACAGCATTGCCAGGGCGTGGGCTTCACCTGAGTCTGCTGCACAGATCCTGCAGTCGTGAGGTCACGACATCTCAGAGTCAGCACACTAAGGAGCGTGCAGGCTAATGTTGGACACCAACACGACGGAAGAGACATGTACACGCAAATAGTGTCTTTTAGGACACTGGGGAGTGAAAACTCTCCCCTCTCAGCGGCCGGGTGGACGGCAGGGCACCCTGGCGGCCCCCGGCGTCCCCTGGCAGCCTCCGGCGACGCTTACCGTCGTCCTGAGCGGCAGACGCCTCGACCGAGAAGCGCGAGCTGCTCCAGTCACTCTTCACCGGCGAGCGCTCAACGAACTGTCCGTTCACGTCGAAGTACCCGACGTCGGCGTCCAGCTCGGCGGCGGCGGCGCCGTGGTCGGCGGCGCCCATCAGCGCGCTCAGGTCCAGCGTCACCTCCTCCGGCTCCTCCTCGGCGGGCGGCGGCGCCGGCGCCGGCTCCGGCTCCTGGCGGCGGCTTCGGCTTGCGGCCACGCTTCTTGCCCGGCGGCGGCAGTCTTGGCCGGCGCCGACGCGTTCTTCGGCGGTCGGCCGCGCCGCGTCGGCGTTGGCGCCTCCGGAGCAGCCGTTGGCGGCGGCGGCGGCGGCGGCGGCGGAGGAGGCGGAGAAGATGGCGGCGGCGGCGGCGCGGGAGTTGGTGGCGCAGATGGCCGGGGCGGGAGAGGCGTGGTGAACTTGACGACCCTGGCGGCGGGTCGGGCGAGCCGGGCGCCCTGCGGCGAGGTCTTGGCCACTGACCGCGCCGGCACCAGCTCGCCCTTCTCGTTGATGATAACTGGTCCGTCCTCGATCACCACATCGGCGTTGGCGTCCAGTATAGTCATGGGCTCCGTCACCGGCTCCGGCAGGCTGGCGCGCTGCCTCAGCGGCTTTACAAGCATCTTGATCGCCTTCGACTTGAGCACGACGCCCGCCGACCGCGCGTTCAACTTAAGCTTCCTGACAACGCCGCTAGATGGCTCCGGGGGCGGCTGCGCGTCATCTTTGCGGATGGGCGAGACAAACACCATTGGCTTCCTTTTATTCGGCGTCTGGAAAGTAATGGGCCGTGGCGCGTCCTGCTCCCTTTCGCCCTCGCCGCCGCTCCTCTTCCTCCCGGAGGAGGACGGCGCTGACGGCCCTGGCCTCGGCTCGGGCGTGCCCTCCGCCTCCACCTCGCCGTCCAACACGTCTCCCCACCAATGCGCGGCGGCCACGCTGCCGTGGACCGGCGGCGGCTGCGGCGTGCGCGGCGCCGCCGGCCCCGTGTCCGGGAAGTACAGAGTGTCCTCGTCGAGGAAGCGCTTGGGAACCTTGCGCTGTCGCTTGCCGACTCCGGAGTCGACGGCAGCGGCCAGCTCGCGCGAGCGGCGCCGCTTCTGGGCCGGTCGACAGTCGCCGGCCGGCCCCGCCTCGGTGCGGGCGGGCGGCGCGGCCGCCGGCGACCCCGCCGTCTTGGCGTGCTTGGGCGGCCGACCCCTCTTCCTGGGCGACGTTGGCTGCGCCTGTTGCGCCGGTAGCGGCGTCGGCGCTGGCTCCGGATCCGGGACCGGCTCCGGCTCCGGCTCCGGCGGCGCCTTGGCGAGCTTCGTGAACCGCTCCGAGATCGCCGGAGACGCTGGAGCCTGCTCGGCCGGCGCCGGCGCTGGATCGGTCTCAGAGTCCTCCCGCAGACCCTCCTGCGGTGCCTCATCCTCCTCCTCCTCGTCCAGCAGTCTCAGCTCCTCGTCCAGCTTCCGGAGTCGCTCCGTCTCGCTTGCGATCCGCCGCAGCTCCGGCTCGTCGCTGCTCGTGCGTCGCCGCTCCGGCTCGTCCCCATCCGTACGGCGCTCGTCCAGCCGCGCGTCGCGAGTGGAGGCGCGCGTCTTGACTGCCCCGCTCGGCGGCGCGTCGGCCGCCGTCGCCTCGGCGGGCGAAACGCGTCGCAGGGTCCGGGGGTCTCGGCTGCCGCGCGAGGGCGACCGACGCGTGCCACCGCCGGCCGAAGCTTCGGCGTCGACGGCCGCTCCGGTCCAGCCTCCGGTAGTTGCTCCTCCCGCATCCTGGCGACGCTGGTCGGCTCCTCCTCCGGCGCAGCTGGCGGTAGGGACGGGCGCCACGGCTGGAGCTGGGCCTGATGCTGGAGTTGCGACAGGCGAAGGGGCTGACGCTAAGGACGAAGCAGGGGCAGGGGCGGGGTCCGGGGCAGGAGCCGGGGTCAGTACTACTGCCGGGGCTGGGAATGAGGCCGGGGGCGAGGCCGGAGCCAGGGCCGTGGCAGAGGCCGGAGCCGGGGCTGGGGACGAGGCCGGGGGCGAGGCAGGAGCCGGGGCCGTGGCGGAGGCCGAAGCCGGAGCTGGGGACGAGGCCGCGGGCGAGGCAGGAGCCGGGGCCAGGGCTGGGACAGGTGCCGGGACCGGAGGCGTGGCCGTGGCCGTGGCCGTGGCCGTGCCGTGGCCGGGGCCGGGGCCGGGGCCGGGGCCGGGACAGGGGCGGAGTCGGTGGAACCCGCCGCTGCAGCAGGAACGGTGGCGCCGCCAGCCTTGCCCAGCGCGGCCGCCGCCACCGCCCCGCGACACAAACTCGTCCAGCCGGCGCTGGCCGCCGTAGGGCAGCACGCGCGCCAGGCTTGAGGTTGGGCCGGCGGCGGACGCGGCCTGCCACGGCCGCCGCAGCCGCCGGGGTCGGCGCCGCGGCCGCGGCGGCAGGCGCCCGGGCGGCCGCCGGCATCAGCTCCCGAGCGTCCAGCCCTGCGACATACAAAACGCGGTCGATGACGATGCACACACCACGACAGAAATCTCACTTCACACTCTTGTACGAAGCCGAAACCCGCAACTGTACGCTGCTCAATAGCACGTCCGTGATGGCGAGCACAGTCCCGGATTGGCGCGCCTATCGCAGCAGCTGCAGCCCCGCCGCCCGCCACGCGGTGACTGTGGCCCGCCCCGCCGTTGATCGCGGCCCGGCAGCGCGCCTACTGGTCACGCTCGCGCGGTCAGGGCGAGCGCTCACGCACCTGCGCCGTCGTCGGCCTGCTCCAGCGACTCCTTCATCGCCTTCATCGTGATCTGTTTCGGCGACAGCAGCCACTCCTTGAAAAGGGCGTTGGCCTTCGCCTTGGTGGACCTGCAACATAGCAGCCCGGCCGCGTCAGGCCGTCGCCCGTTCGAGGCGCGCTGACGCACGGGCACCGGAGGACGCTGGCGACGAGGTCGCAGAGGTCGGACCGGCAGATTCGCCGCTTTCCACACTTTAAGTACAGCGGAGGTTAATGCTGGCAGAAGTAACCGAGCCAAGCGTGACAATTTACGGCATCTCCAAGACACTGGCGGCGACGAAGTCACAGCAGCCAGAGACCGGCGGAGTCGCCGTTTTCCAAATTTTAGTACAGCGGCCGTTAATGCTGTCAGAAGCAGCCGAGCTAAGCGTGACGATTTACGACTTCTCCAACGCACTATCTGTTCCACCAACGGCCACAAAATGCGCAGGTTTGCGCCCGACGTCGGAGCGCGTCTCCGGCACCCGTTATTTACTGAACGTCTCATGTCGACACAGCTGGCCACTGTGCCAGCGTCACTGTAGCTCTGTGCCAGCAGTACGGCTGTGTGTCGGTGTGACCCTGTCACTCTGTGTCAGCCTTATGACTGCCGACATGACTCAGTTATTCTGTCCCGGTGCAATTATGTTACTCTGTGCCCGTGTTATGACTCTATGCCGATGACAGTGTAACTCTTTCAGTGTAGCTCTGATCCGGCGCGACTTTGTAACTCTGATCCTGTGTGACTCTCCGTCGACCTCTTGCCCTCTTACCGCGCCGACCTCCGCTCCTTGCCGTCGCCGGCCGTCGGCTCCGGCTCCGACTCCGGCTCCGACGCCTTGCTGACGCCGGCCGTCTCCTTCATGAAAGCGAACTCGGCTTTGACGCGCAGTGAGATGCGAGGCGTCTCGGCGGCGGGGGAGGCGCCGCCGGCCGGCGAGTCCGTCGCAGCCGCCCCAGCCGCCGCAGCGGGCGCCGTCTCAGTCGAGGCCGACGCCGGCGACCCTCGCTCCTTCACCATTGAGTCCAGAGTGCGCTGGTTACTGAAATGAAGGATCTGGTTCAGAATATGGCGCCGCACGCTGCCGAGGACAACGTAAGGCACGGGAATACGGAAGCACACAACGCACGGAGGCGGGGGAGCTGCACGCCAGGCCAACAGCGAGCGAGCCGGTTCGAAAAGCACACCCACGACCGATGCCGCGTCGGTCCACCCCTCAGTCCGTCCGCCGTCAGCTGGCGCGAGCTCGGCTGGCGACGCAGAGCGCCGGCCTCAGGCGGCGCCACTCACCTCCGGCGCGTCTTCCACTGCCAGAAGCGGCGGCGCCGGCGCCGGCGGCCGGTCGGCTCCACGCGGCGGGGGCGGCTCCACCGGCGGCGGGGCGGCTCCGCCGGCGACGGGGGCACCGGCGGCGGCCAGGCGGCCCCGCAGACACCGGACTCATGTCCGCTGCCGGGAGAGAGAGGCGGGCACGGCGGCCGTCACGGGACAGCCGCGCCAGGCACGCGCGACACGCACGGCGACACGGGACAGTAAAGCCACACCGGTCACGCGGGCGACAGCAGCGCCAATCGGCAGCGACGGCGACAACGGCAGACTCCCTCCCCGGAGGTCACAGCACGGACCTCGCTTTCGGCGCTCCTCGCCGCCAGCCCCCTCCCCCCCCCCCCTGAGGGTGCCGCTCCACCCGAGGGTGCCACTCCACCTGAGGGTGCCACACGTGCCGGCGCCGTACCGATGATGCGGCGCCGCTCACTCTCCGACAGCGTGTCCCAGTGCTGCGAGAACGCCGCCAGCGTGGCCGTGCACTCCAGGTTGGCCTCCGGCTCCCACGTGTTCCACGAGCTGCCGGGAGGGGTGTGACGTCACACGCGGAGCACCCCACGGACGTGGCGTCGCTCCTCGGCGACATCACCAGGGAGGGGCGGACGCCGGGGTCACGCGAGCGGGGCAAGGGGGACGGGACGTATCAGAGGTCTCCGGGTCCCCGGGTCTCACCGGAACGGTGACGGCATGCTGCCCCCTGACACTGACTAGCACTGACACTCTGACACGATGACTGACACTGACAATATGACACGTTGACTGACACAGGCACTTTGCATGACACTGACTGGCACCAATATCATCCGCGATGATCCTGCTACAGTGTCATGGCAAGACGGCAGTCAAGCCAAACTGGCGCATAACAGGGGCCCAGCAAGAGGGGGGGGGGGGGGGGGGGGGGGGGGGGGGGGGGGGGGGGGGGAGAGTACGAGTAAATGGAGGTACCACAGGCAGGTGGTTACGTAACGTACCATCGGCCTTACAGTCAACGCACGACAGCTGTCAACACTGAACAAGACCAATCCTGATGCAAGCATCCAGACATCCAACAAACCACGTAGGCTTCACATTACTGGAAACGGTCACTATGTAGCGGCGTATGCAGGAACACACATCCCCGCACGCTAAACCTTCCCTGCCCCCAGTCGTCCAGCTGATCCCGGTAGTGCCCCGTACTCAGGAGAAGCCCGCACGATCACGCGGCCGCTGGGCCACACGCGGCTCCCCATGGCAAGGGCGCGCGGAGACTGACGCAGCCTCCGCGGTCAGCGTGCACACGAGCCGAGGGGCCGGCCGGCGCCGCGGAGCGGGCGCGCGGCCACTCACTCGGTGTAGCCCTTCCAGCGGATCAGGTACTCGGCCTGGCCGGTGGCGGCATTCTGGCGGCGCGCCACGATCGTCTCCACCTCGAAGAACGCCTGCTGCTTGCCGTCCTTCTCCAGGATCCAGGAGCCGTTGCGGTTGTCCCAGACGTGGCCCTGGGGCGGCTCGTTGGCCACCGGCAGCGGCAGCACCTCGCGCGTGCGGCGCCGCTCGGCCGAGCCGGCGTCGTGCAGCACCAGCTCGCCGCGCTTCAGCTCGAACTCGTCGCACACCTGGTCGAGGGTGGCGGCG